GCTGGATCACCCAGTGGCGGCCCCACAGGGTGTGTGGTTTCTGCGGAGCCTCCACCTCCCCTGCCGGACGTCTCCCCACTCTGTGAGCACTGGGCTGGGCTGGGAATGGAGCCAGGTGGCGGTGGTGAAGCCTATCTGCTGGATTGTGCAATGGCAGCCCCGCAGGGCATGTGGTCTCTGCAGAGCTTCTGCCTCCCCCGCTGGACGTCTCCCCATTCTGTATGCACTTGATGTTATGTTTTTATAGTTTAAATCGATTTGTGGGAGAGAGTGATGCTAGGGACCGTCTATTCCGACATCTTGACTAGAAGTCTAATTTTCTAACTTTTTTAGTGGCTTTCCTTAGAGTTTACAATATACATTTACAACTAATCCAAGTTTACTTTCGAATAAAACTATACTGCTTCATGAATAGTAGGAATACCTTATAATAACAAAATAATCCTAATTTCTCCCTCCCAGCCCTTGTATCATTGCTGTCATTCATTTTACTTATATATAAGAATACACATGATATATATCCATAGTATGCATAATTGACCACATTATTGCTATTATTATTTTGAAGAAATTGTTATGTTAGATCAATTAATAAGAAAAATAAAAGTTTTTTTTTTTTTTTTTTTTTAAAGATGACCGGTAAGGAGATCCTAACCCTTGACTTGGTGTTGTCAGCACCACGCTCACCCAGTGAGCAAACCCGCCATCCCTATATGGGATCTGAACCCGTGGCCCTGGTGCTATCAGCACCGCACTCTCCCGAGTGAGCCACAGGCCGGCCTGAAAAATAAAAGTTTTAATTTTACCTTCAGTTATTCATTCTTCAGTGTTCTTCCTTTCTTTATGTAGATCTGAATGTCTGACCTATATAATTCTCCTTCTCTCTAAAGAACTTCTTTTAACATTTCTTTCAATGAATGCCTACTGGTAACAAATTCCCTCAATTTTTGTTTACCTGAGAAAATTTTTATGTCTCCTTCACTTTTGAAGGATAATTTTACAGGGCACAGAATTCTAGGTTTTTTTCTCTCAGCACATTAAACATTTTACATCAAATATTGCATGGTTTCTGAAGATAAGTTGGATGTTGTCAGGCTGGGTCACAGACCCTTCAAACCCATCCTGTGCAGGTCACAAAACTAGGTAGTTGGAAAAAGATTCTGGGAGCCATTGGTAAGGTTGACACAATTTATTCAGATATGAGCTCAGCCCTCCAGCCCAATGGATCAGAGCCATTGTCTTTTATACTATAGTCAGATAGCCAAGGAACACATGTGTGCACACATGCAGTTATTCCACTGTTACATATTTACAACAGACATGCTGGGTCATGCTCCACTGGATATGAGGTGAGGGAGCCAGACCATTCTATCTCCATTTTCCTCACAGATGTAATTCTTATCTATATTCCTCAATAGGTAAGTCCCCACCAGCCACAACCTGGCTTCTTTTAGAACTTTTTCTTTATCTTTGATATGCTCCAGTTTGAAAATGTTATGCCTAGGTGTAGTTGTTCTGACATTTATCCTGCTTGGTGTTCTCTGAGATTCCTGGATCTGTGGTATGGTGTCTGCCATTAATTTGGGGAAATTCTCAGTCATTATTGTTTAAAATATTTTTCTGTTCTTTTTTCTTTCTTCTACTTTTGGTATTCCCATAGTGCATATGTTACACCATTGTAATTATCCCACAGTCCTAGCCTATTAGTCTGCTTTTTCCAGTCTTTTTCTCTTTGCTTTTCAGTTTTGGAGGTTTCTATTGAGATCCCTCAGGCTCAGAGCTGCTTTCCTCAGATGTGTCCTGTCTAATAAGCCCATCAAAGGCATTCTTCATTTCTACTACAGTGTTTTTGACTTCTAGCATTTTTTTTATTGGTTCATTCTTAGGATTTCCATGTTTCTGCTTACATTGGCCATCTGTTCTTGCATGCTGTCTACTTTATCCATTAGAGCCTTTAGCATGTTAATCAGTTTTAAATTCCCAGTCTGATAATTCCCACATCCCTGCTGTGTCTGGTTCTGATGATTGCTCCGTCTCTTCAAACTGTTTTTTTTTTTTTTCTTTTTGCCTTTTATTATGCCTTGTAATTTTTTCTTGGTAGTCAGACATGATGTATTGGGTAAAAGGAACTGCTGTAAATAGGCCTTTAGCAATGTGGTGGTAAGGTGTGGAGGAAGAGGAGAAGCATTCTACAGTCCTGTGATTGGATCTCAGCGGCTTTGTGAGCCTATGCCCCTGGACTGTGAATTTCACAAGTGGTTCTCAGTCCCCTCCCCTGTCTGCCACCCTTAGATGGTACAGGAGGGTTATACTGGTCTGGAGTTGGGTATTTCCCTTCCCCAGGTCACTTTGGCTTTGTCAAAACCCCAGCAGGTTAGGCTCTGGTTACTTGTTTTCTCCTGAGGGCAGATCTTTTAAGGAGAATATAGTGCTGTGCTATATTTCAAAGTGGTTCCTTTTCCCCTCTTCCTGCCAGAAGTATGAGGGGATGTTTTGTCCAATATTTATTTTGGGAACCTAGTTGGGCTCCTGGAAGTAAAACTCACAAAAGTGTGGGTTCTTCTATGGATCCCCTGTAGTTTTTAACTCTCAGACTTGTTGAATTGAGTCTCCAGTAATTCTTCAATTACAGTTCAGATTTTCCTGCCCTGGACTAGTTCTTTCAGAGGTTTCTACTAGGACATTTCTGCTCTGGTAAGTTGTCATTCTCTGTATTTACCTGTCTCTCCAATTTTGGGGGCAGTGGATTGTCCTGTGACCTCACTTTTCAGTTTGTTCAGCTTTTATTTGTTTTTAGGACAGAGTGGTGACTTATAAGTTCCTTAGATGTGGAACTGGAACCGGAAGCCCCTCATTGTTGTTTTTGGTGTTCAGATTATTCAAAACTGGCCAATGGGAGATCCTTAAAGCCAACTCCTGTGAACCTCCATTAGTTCGTTTGTTTATTAACATATACTTATTGTAGTGCTAGGGCTGGGTCTGGAGCTCACAGACCCCTCAAGCCCATTCACAAGCCCTTCACACACAGGTCTGTGAGCTAGGTAACTAGACAAAAGGTCCTTGAAGCCTTGTTTGAAGAAAGAATAGTCTTTATTCAGCACACACACATCTAATACCTAAGCAGTCCAAGGAGAAACTCAGAAACTCAACTGCTACTGGCAAAGTCCAAAGAAAAACTGAGCAGCTGCCAGCAGAGTAAACATACTCTATTTTTAGACTCAAACTCTGCCTGCCGGCACTGCTTCACAAACTCAAGAACACACAATAGCAACAAAACTAAAAAGATACATTGGTATACATGTGCACTAACTCCACCCACACAACTTGTTCACAAAGAATTAAGAATGTGTTGCACGACCCCCAACCAGACCTGAGCCGAGGGAGTCTGACTAAATTATCCTATTTTCCCCATACTTACATACACAGTATTTCTTTTTTAGGTGTACAGTTCTATGAATTTTGATAAATGCATGCATTCATGTAACCATTACAATCAACATATAGACTATTTCCATCACTCCAGTTCTTTCATGCTCCTTTATAATCATTCCCTTCCCCACCCCAAGCCCCTGGGAATTTCTGATCTGATTTCCATCCCTATAGTCTGTCTTTTCCAGAATGTTTTATGTCATACTGCATGTAGCCTTTTGAATTTGGCTTTTTTCACTTTGCATAATGTTTTTGAGATTAACCTATGTTGTTGCATATATTAGTAGTTCCTTCCCTTTTATTTCTGTGTATTATTGCTTTTTATGAATGTACCACAATTGTTTATTCACTAGTTGATAGACATTTAGTTTGTTTCATTTTTGGAAGTTATGAATACAGCCTCTATAAACACTAGGTTTTTATGTGGACATAAGTCTTCTTTTCTCTTGATATGATTTCTAGGTTTAGGATTGCTGGCTCATATGGTATTCCCTTAGCTTTTTTG